CCCTTGGCCCAGGAGCTCCGCTGCTCCCAGGCCGCGCACTGTTTTTCCCGTCTTTACTTCAGAAGTTTTGCACAGCAGAAACCAAACCCTGCTCCTGCCGCAGACAAAGGAAAAGTCTTTCTTTCTCTGGTGGGAAGCAAATAACTTTATTGTTCTTCTCTCACAGGAAAAAAAAAAACTAGGGTGCATAAGTTCATTTCCAAACCAACAAGGGACCCAGATTTCTCTTAGGAAAACACCAAGTCTGAGCTCCATGGTGACCTTGTTCTTCTGATGCATGTCTCAAATCTACATCCTCTGCCTGTTGGTCTGTAAAACAAGGTTACTACTCTATATCCCCCTCTGTGAGGCCCAGAACAAATTTGCTTTAGTACAACTGCTTTTCCTGCAAGGAGTCAGAAGAAAGCCAGCTCTTTTCTAGCAGTTAGACTAAGTGTAACAGCCAGAACCAGAGGAATTAATATGCAATAAATATGTGCTTTTTGGAGGCATTTGGTATTTTGCCTAAACAGTTAATATAGTTAATATAAAGTTTGTAATATTAATATTAATATTAATTAATATAAAGTTTGTAAACTGCAAATATAACTTGTCTAAGTTTAACCAAAATGATAAAGTTAACTGTTCATGAAACTGACTGGGCCCCATAGGCACAGCTGTAGCTGTAAGATTAGGAGACCTAACCGTTTTTTGCTCAGGGTTCAGCCTTGATGATAAAACTGGATCCAACTCCCTGGCACACCCAACACATTCCAAGAAAAGATATCCCAAGAAAGCATCTTCAAATGAAGCCTAAAAGGGGTTGGAACTTAGGTGGAGCAATGTCAATTTCAAACCTAAAGGTGCTGAATCATAATTTGCTTATTGGATAAACCCTAGTCTGGGTAGTAACCTTTTATGATAATTTTGACACCTTTCAATCCCATACGGTAAGAACTATAGGGCAACATTATGAGTGGCTCTGAGGCCAACAGATTAACAGAAAACTAGGTATAAAAAGCACATGCATCAGGTAACCAGCAGGAAG